CCTGTTGTGGTGGTTTACCTGTGCGGTGCCTGGGCCATGTGTGTGGTGCTTTCCAAGTGCAGCTATTAATCATGATTCGTATTGTCACCTCAGCTCTGCGTGCCCGAGCGCCCATTCCCTGCCACGCTGCAGCTCTCGGAATCAATTCCCCACTAGGGAGCAGCGTACCACTGACAATCGGGAACACAGAGTGTGAAACAACTGATGCAAACCATGCTATATGGAGGGCCCAGAAAATACCCTCTGATTGGTTTGCCACTTAAATGCCGAACTTCACAAGTCCTCACCTGTTTTTGAGGCGTGCTGTGATTTTACCCTGAAACTCTGCCCCCCTCGCCCTGTGTGATCTCGCAAGCGAAGAAGAGCTGGTCCAGGTCAGCTCTTGGATGTGTTGGTGAGTCAGTAGGTGGCGCTCTTCCCATTGCAGTGTTACAGGGGCTGTCATTCAGAGGCCACTGAAAATCCCATGAAACTTGTTACAAAAGCTGGGTCCCTGTGTCTTGGTCAAGTTCTGCCTCTGGGTCCTTCCACTCTGGTTCCATCTAATTCCCCTGTCATTTCAACCAGCTGAAGTAGTCTGCTTCACTCCCCAACCTAAACTGTTGTGTAGCCTTGCTATTCCCAGCCCAAGGGTGGCTTCCTTTCAATGGTGGGTGGGCAAAGAGATCTCTGCAGTCTGTGCAGACACCTGGGATCCAGCTCAGATGGGGGTGCAGTGTAGATGTGAACTCACGCCCTCTTAACCCTCTGTACTGTGCAGCTTGCCTTTAGCAGGCACCTGGTTTGTTCACTTGTGATCAGTGTCTATTTTCTTCCTGCAGCAGAGATGCAAACGTATTTAGGTGCCCAAGTCCCAATTTTAGGCTCCACTGAGATCCACAAAACTCCCACCAAACCCTGTAGATTCCTAAACTCACTCAGCACCTAAGTTTCCAGGGAAAACATTCCCTAAATTTCTGCCTCTGGGCATGTGTGCTGCTGTCTCCCTCTCGGTGTCTGGGTGCCTGTCTCCTGCCTAAGCCCCAGTGAGACCCATGAATGGGGAGAAGATAGATGCTCATCTCCCTAACTTGCATGCAGAGCCCAACTCAGAGGCCACCAACTGGCCTGAGCCCCATTAAATCTCTGCTGGAGGAGGTGGTGGCGACATTATAACTCATACCGCCCTGGTTAGAGCACTCCCCTGGGACGTGAGGGAGCCTGGTTCAATCCCCCCGCTCCTGCCAGAGAAAGGATTTGAACAGGGTCCCCTGCCTCTCAGGAGCACGCTAACCACTGAGTTACGGGATATTCTGATGTGGGCCTCCCTTGGTCTCCCCGTGGAAGCTGTTCCCCTGTGTATCAGACAGTCAATGTGCCAGTGAGAATGCACAAACGAGTGCGTAGCCTGGTGGTTAGAGTACCCGAGAGTTGCAAACAGAAGGGAGACTCGCTGGCTCCGAGGCCTGGAGTAGGAGAGAGAGCCCCACACCTCTAGCCAACTACCTTTGTATCCATTACTAAGAGCCTGTTGAAATAGCCCTGGTGTTCTCAGTCCAGCTTCTAGTGGACAGGTGTCCCCGTCACAAAGGCTACAGGCTTGCTGGCATCCTGAGGAGAGATGCCAGAGATGGAAAGCCTGGGAGGTTGGACACCCCTCTCCTTTCTGGGGTGCAGGGCTCCAGAGTGGGGTTGACGTGCAGTGGTAGGTGTAGGAAGGTACCACAGCTGAGAGTAATTAGAGAGGATGACCTTCTCCAAGGCCCTCAGGCTGGCACCTCTCGCGAGTGCTCAATTCATTTGAAAGGGGAAACAAAACCCTAGAATAGGAGAAAGAAGAGAAGTGGGCCTGGCCCCTGAAGTCACTGGCGCAGCAACAAAGGAGACCTTGAGCAGGTTCCAGTCCAGCCATGTGGCCCCCAGCATGGCCCAGTTTCTCTCTGTCAAAAATAACGAGGAGGCTTATTGAATTCCCATCACTCCTCAGAGAAGGTTTTAACTAAAGCTTGGGTTCATGCTGAAGATACCCAAGGCCTGTCAGGAATTCCCTGCTCCCCAACCCAGGACAATGCTTCCTGCCTCCGATGGTGGAAGCCAGCCCTGCTTTGCTGAGAAGCGCTAAACCCCTTCCAATTTGAGCCAGCACCCAGGTTTGCTGAAGAAGTGATGCCAGCCCAGTGATGCCTGCCATGGACCAGAGCACGCTCTACCCTGGTTGGAAACACGCACACAGGCCTGAGGTTGCTAGGTTTTCTTTAGCAGAAAGATGAAGTTGATTAGGGGAGGAGATAATGAGCCAGATCCTCAGCTGGTGTACATAGGTGGAGATCCACTGACATCAGAGAGCTGTGCCTACCTGCTCCAGATAAGGATGTGGTCTAGGATCTCAATCAGGCAAAACCAAGCCCAGTGGTTCTCCAGGTCCCAGCGAGACTTGGAACTGCTGTTCCCCAATCCACCGGGGCCTCTATGCTGTGGGCTACCCAATCTCAGAGACACATTAAAACCAGCACTCTATAGGCAGATAGGTCCAGAGAGATGTGGGGGACTGTCCTCGCCACTGGCTCTCGGCTCCTAGAGAGACTCCTCTGCTGCGTGGGTTAACCACACCCGGAGATATAACAGGCTGTCCAGTGGGTTGTGGGAAACCATTACCCAGACTGGTGGAAATAATGTCATGATGCTCTGAAGGAAAACAGAGCTCCTATTTCAAAGTATTTGAACAATGTAACCTGAACAGGCTAAGTTGTACCTTGGCACAGGGCTTAAAATACACCCATCAGTCACTAGTCAGTCACCTGAAAAACCCAGGTGGAGCCTGCTCTGCTACACTTCCAAATCCAGACTTGTTATTAATAAAAGCGGTTTCCCCTTTCATCTTTGCATCAGTGTATGACAGCCTCACGGCACCAATGATTGGTTTGACCCAGTCAGCGCTCTCCTTCTAAACTCCACTGCCAGTTGCTTATAACATACCCATCTGTCTGTGACATCTTTTCAGCCTGCATTTATTGGAGTAATCCCAAGAGGATTCTAGGTGGGTGGCTTGTCACTAGGGCTGCCAGTTTGGCACAGATGAGATAGGGGATGGGGGTGGGGGAATTGGCAGCAGGGAGTTGGAGAAAGTCAGAGGCAACATGGCAGGGTTTTGGCAGCTTGGAAAGGGTTAAATGGAAGAGGTTTGTTCAGTGTGACTACTAAAGGGTTACGAAACTGCTTGCAGGCCAGGATGCTGATTATGGGGGTACCTGGCGTATTTCAAGGCTGTTTCTAGTGCTAGATTTTTTTCTCCTAACATTTCACACTGTTGCTACTACTGGAGCAGAGTCGCTGGTAGAGACTAGGGTGGGAAATCTTAGGGGAAAAGCGTCTAGTGTGGAGACAAGAGCCTGGAGTGAGATCTGCTTTCTTGAGGCAGAATCCCTGCTCCTTCCACAAGGAGAAGGACTGTCACTGTGACCTTCTCCCATTGAAGGTAAGCTGCTCTCTGCCCACACCACGGAAGCATGTGGCTGGTTACCGCAAGCAGCCTGGCTTATTCTGGACCCACGCCGTGTTTCCATTCCCACTGGAACGTCTAGGGCTATAACACTGGATGTACCCTGTGCATGGCGCAGTTGTTAAATCCCCACAGTGCAGTGCCACGCTGCACTGTCTAACCCGAGGAAAACACTTGGCAGTCATTAATGAATTAAACCTCATCGCATTAAGCATCTCATTAAGCCTAGTAGGGAAGGCATTCTATCCCCTTGGTATGGGTGGGGAAAGTGAGGCCCATAGCGGTTACATGACTTGCTCCAGGTCACCCAGCCAGAGTGGGTAGAATAGAAACCACTTGTCCCACTTATTGAGGCTCACTCAGCTAAGCTCCCGCTGCCTTCCAGGAGAGGGCTGCCCGAACCCCAGGGCACAAGAGCTGGCGATGAATAAGATGCTGCCAGTTGCGATCCGTGGGCGGAAGGCTTGGATCTGGTGTTTGTCCCTGGGAGGACGCAGCTAGCCCCAGGCAGCTTTGCTGTCACAGGCGAGCTGCAGGAGCCGAGCTGTGCAATTGTACCTGTGGCCCCAGTGGAACAAGGGCCCCCCCTTCCTCCACCCGCCTTCCTCCTCCTGGAGCATCCTTGCAGCCTTGGCAAAGCCCAGCGGAGCATCAGCTTGCAGCTGTCGGGAAGGCACCATCCCTGCCGCGGGGGACGCTCTGCTGCCACTGGTGCCGGCTTTGCACCAGCGCAGCAACGCCCGCCAACCCAGCGAGCTCCCCGGCCAGGGGAGCCCCTCGCAGCCCTTCCCCTGTTGCCTGGCCCCGGCCTGGGCGCCGCGCCGGGGCGGGCAGGGTACGCCCCGCCCGGGCCACCCCCTCCGCCGGGGCAGTGGCCGCACCCGCCTGTCCCACTCACCAGGTGGATGTTTGCACGTTGGCGTGGAGATGAAAAGCCGCGCGCAGCCTAACCTGGCTCGGGCCCCGCCTCCGGAGGCGGGCGATTGGCTGTCTGAGGGAGCGCCGGGCTCCGATTGGGCCAGGGGCGGCTGTCGATCCGCTCGCCCCAGTTCAGGCTCGGTAGCGGTGGCAGCGCGGCGGCGGCTGCTCGGCGGGTTGCGGGGGACGGTGCCGCGGCGGCGGCCGAAGCGTCCAGCGCGGCGGGGGCTGGTCTGCGGGGCGGGAGCTGCGGGCTGCCTCTCTCCCTTCATCGCGGAGCGGGGCGGCGGGCGGCGCGGGATGCACCGGGCGGGAGGAGGAGGAGGAGGGAGCCGCCGCTGCCGCCTGGGCGCCGTGTGAGCTCCCCGCTCCATGGCGCTGCCGTGCGGGCTGGGGCAGCGCGGCACGGGCTGAGCGGCCTCGTCCCCTCTGCCCGCCTCCCGCCGCCGAGTGGATCCGGGCGGGGAGGGAGCGCGGGGCTGCCTGGATGCCTTTGTCCCTCCGGCGGGGGGCTCGGCCGGGGAAGGGGGCGACGGGGCCGGCCGGCCGGGACCCCCGCTCCGGGGGCCGCCGCCGCCGCTGCTGCTGCCGCCGCCGCCTGGTCCCGGGGCCGCTGCCCGCCCTGCGCTCGCCGGCGCTGCCCGACACGTGCCCCAGCCCCGGGGCGCTGCTCCCGCCTGGCGTCTAGCCCCGCCCGGCGGGGACGGTGCCGTGCTCCGGGCCGGTAATGCGGCCTCCAGGATGCTGTGGTTCCCGGTGAAGAAGATCCGCAAGCAGTTCAAGCTGCTGCTGCTGCTGGTGCTGCTCACCCTGGCCGCGTGGTTCACCTACCTACACATCAGCCTGGTGCGCCAGGGCAAGGCGCTGCGCCTGCACTTCGCCTACGGCCGAGGTAAGGGGGGCCCCGCGCCCCTCCTGCCCCCTTCCACAGCCGGGCAGGGGCTGGCGAGCGCAGCCAAGTTCCTGCTGCAGGCCCTCCGGGGCTGCCGGTGTCGCCGGCGCCCCCCTCCGTACTTTGTGGAGGCAACCCCCTTTGTAAGGCCAAAAGGAAGCGCCCCCCCTTCCGCTCTCCTGTGGGTTCTCTTAGGGTGGAGTTTGGTCTAGCCAGGACTCCTGGCCCTGCTGGGTCAGACCGATGGTCCATCTAGCCCAGTATCCTGCCTTCCAGCAGTGGCCAGTGCCAGGTGCCCCAGAGGGAGTGAACAGAGCAGGTCATCATCAAATGATCCATCCATCGCCTCTCGCCCATTCCCAGCCTCTGGCAGTCAGAGGCTTAGGGATGCTCAGAGCGTGGTGTTGCATCCCTGCGCATGCTGGCTAATAGCCGCTGCTGGGATGCTTCCTCCACAAACTTCTCTAATTCTGTTTGAACCCTGTTTTTGTCGTTTTGGTCTTCACAACATCCCCTGGCAAAAAGTTCTACAGGTTGGCACTGCAGTTTGTGAAGAAATACTTCCTCTGGTTAATTTTAAACCTGCTGCCTATTCATTTCATTGGGTGACCCTTGGTTCTTGTGTTATGTGAAGGGGTAAATAATGCTTCCTTATGCGCTTTCTCCATACAGTTAATGGTTTTATAGACTATGTCCCCCTTAATCATCTCTTTTCTAAACTGAACTGTCTGTCTTTTTAATCTCTCCTCATATGAAGCTGTTCCAGACCCTGATCATTTTTGTTGCCCTTCTCCTTACTTTGTCAAATTCTAATATATCTTTTCTGAGATGGGGCGATCAGAACTGCACGCACTATTCAAGGTGTGGGTGTAGCATGGATTTATATCTTGGCATTGTGATTATTTTCGGTTTTACTATCTATCCTGATTGAGATCTCCTGAAATAATGAGCCTTTATTACATCCAAGGAGTGCTCCAAGAAGGGCTGTGGGAGAGAGGCAGCCCTGAGCCTCTGAAGCTGATGAAAGTGTCCCCATCACTGGAATAGCTCCCTTTGGCAAGAGCTGGGAAAAATTGGGCACTGTCGGTTACATTAGAGATGCATGTACAGAACACTCTTCCCCCAGGCTGGCTGGGTTGCAAAGCTCAGGTCAGACACTTGGCTGCATTGCCAATAAGCTGTCCAAACTCTCCATGTCTTTAGTCTTGGCAGCGAAGTGTTTTTAGCAGCAATTCAATTCCTCTTTAGAGCAGAGCTAGATAATGGCTCCTGAGTCCAGGGCACAGAGCACCAGTGTGTGGATCAGAGAGAGAATTCTGAGATGCTAGAGATCGCTTACAAACCAAACTAACTGGGCCGGTGGCTGAACTGTCCAGAGCCCTGTTGGCAGTGTCTGGAGACTGTTAGTCCTTCATGCCAGCAGTCTGAGGGGTGCTGGAGGTGGCTTGGCTCCCGTGAAGGAGGGGTTTTTGGTAAGTCTATGGGCTGGTGCTCTTTGTTTAGCTTGTTTGGCACTTCCTGTTGGCTAAGCTGTAAAGTCCTGTGATGCAGCACACCAGGCAGGAAGGGAGAAGGGCAGGAAAAACTGGGTGGAAAGGTAACCCTGATTTAATAGGCATATCCCAACACCTGGGGCTGCTTAGATAAAACCAGTTATTTGAGGAGTACACTTTCCAGGCCTCAGAACAGCGGGGCTCTCAAACTCTTCCATACCACAAACACTTCTTCCATACCGACAGGTTTCAGAGTAACAGCCGTGTTAGTCTGTATTCGCAAAAAGAAAAGGAGTACTTGTGGCACCTTAGAGACTAACCAATTTATTTGAGCATGAGCTTTCGTGAGCTACAGCTCACTTCATCGGATGCATACCGTGGAAACTGCAGCAGACTTTTTATACACACAGAGTGTATAAAGTCTGCTGCAGTTTCCACGGTATGCATCCGATGAAGTGAGCTGTAGCTCACGAAAGCTCATGCTCAAATAAATTGGTTAGTCTCTAAGGTGCCACAAGTACTCCTTTTCTTCCATACCAGGACCCTCTTCCATCTAGCTGGGATCCCCTCCCTCTCAGGGGAGTGGGGTTATGCTCCCTGGACGTCTGTTTGTGACCCCCATGTGGAGAAGCCGTGCTGTAGAAGGATATGTTGTTGTTCTCATTCGCTGCGTTGTGATGGGTCTAGTACTGGAAAGTTATTCTCATGGCTTCTGGAAATCTTTGGGAGGGGGAACATCAGCAGGGATTTTCATGTTTCTATTTCCACTTAACTTTCATTTGTATCCCGTGCCCTTATTATGAGAATGCGGACCATTTAAAAATAATTGTTCTCTTCTTTAAAAAGAGAACTGCAAAGGGGTAAACCAGTTCTTGCTTGTGCCCTTTCTGCTCCATGCTTATGGTTTCAAAGACTCTTCCGAATGGCAAAATCAGGTTAGATTCTACTCTCACTTACACCAGTGTAAACTGAATATAACTTCATTGGTGTCAGGGAAGTTACTCCATATTAGTGCCAACGTGAGTGAGAAGCAAGTAAAGGCCACTGAGACTTGACTTATCTGTGGTTTCTGGCAGGGGCTCTGGAACAATTTGTATAGTGGGGGTGCTGAGAGCCATTTACCCAAACTGTAAACCCTGGATAGAATGGATACCACTTGAAGCCAGGGAGTGCTGCAGCACCCCTGTAGCCCTAGTTCCAGCACCTATGGTTTCTGGAGAGCTAGAGTGGGATAATGTAGGCCCCCAATCCAAGAGAATACGTATGTAATGCTACTCATTGGAATAGTCCTGTTGTCTTCGCTGGGACTACTTATGAGAGTAAAGCTACATATCAAGTGTTTGCAGGGTTGGAGATGCAGGCTGAAGTCTGAGTGGGAGATGACTCACTCTTTCACAAAGAGCTTTTATCCGCGCTGTTTGTTACATGTTTGAGTTAAATGGCTTTTAACCACAAAAACCAATAGCTTTAAAGAGTGGGTCTAAACATTCCTTCCCTCTTGAATGAGGGAAGACAATGTTTCAATCCACTGTGATATCCTATCCATGCTGCAAAAACAGGAAAGTCAAGATACAGCTAATGTGACAAAGCAGGAAATGAAACTCCTTTGCTTGTGTATTAAACACCTGTTAGTTTTCTTTTAAGTGAGCTGCCTTCTCAGCTGCTGTCCCACTAAAAAACAACCTGTCATGTAAGCCTAACCTCAAGAGTCTAGCCACTGCCTAAACTATTGACCCAGTTCAAAGAAGGTTTGACTAGTTGTCTGCTCAGACCTTGCAGCCTCACCCTGTGCAGTGCGCGGGCTGTAAGACTGTGGCAGATTGTTCCTGCCGTCCTGGGTAAGCATGCTAACTAGCTGCAGGGGCGGGGTTTGGTGATCAGCAGTGGAAAATATTAATAGTGGGATAGCAACATTTGAAGCCTAAATTTAACCAAGTGCCCACCCATCAGTGTGACCGGAGGAAGTTCGGAGATCGTGCTATAGCATCGGTCTCCCCGCAGGCTCAGAATGCCCTGCCTGTCCAGCCGAGGTGGTGTGTTCTGGAAACAATTGGTCAGACTGATCGGGCTATTCCCGATATCTGCCGAAGAGGATGCGGGTCTGGTCTTTTCTATGACTGCCCCTCCCTTGCGCACGCAACCTTTGACATGCCATCTGGGACACACTCCCCAAAATCTCCCAACCCCAAATAGAATGTGGCTATTTATTTCAAGTGTTACCCGGAGCAGTGAGGAAATGCATTGCCACGCTCTGGCTCCCAGCAGAAAACCCTGCTGTCACAATGCAGCTGAACAAACTCTGAAAAATCAGAGCTCAAAGGTGATGGTACCAGGACCAGCCTGAGGAGCTGAGCCTTAACTAATGAGCTGCTTGTAACTGCATGAAGTAAAGACCAGGATCAGTGAGTTTAAGTTGCACCCGTGCTGATTCACACATACCCAGCACTTTGTGTTGTCATTGAGACTAGTGTGAAGGGAGTGTAAAATGCCACCAGATCAGAATAAGAGTATTATTTAACATTTATATTATGGTAGCACTGAGAGGCCTCAGCCAGGTTAGGAATTCTCTGTGTTAGTCACTGATCTGAGTCTAAAACTTTACACCTAGCCTGCCCTAGTGTAAGTGACAGCCAGTGGGGTGGGGCAGTGAATCTGGCCCCATCTCTATAATGGTGTCGGTCTGTCATCCACACTTATTAGCTATTTGTATTGCAGGAGCGCCTAGGAGTGCTCCAGTCATGGGCCAGGACCCCAGTGTGTTAGATGCTGTACAAACACAGTCCCTGCCCCACAGAGCTTATAATTGAACTATAAGACGAGAGCAGGTCGGCACAGACAGCACAAGACCATAATGAGATGCTGTCATTCAGCACACCAGCTGTCTAAGCACTGTCAAGTTTTTAGCAGGCATCATGGCAAAGGAGAGTTTGAAGGAGGCCATAAGGTGGCTTGACAGAACACCTGCTGCTTACCTGGAGATCACAGCCCTGCCCCAGATATTACGTATTGATGCCCTGCACTGTACGGTGAACAGCTGTCAAGGCATCTGTGCCCTATGTAGCTTGAGATGTAGAAAACAGACTGTGGGGAGGGACCCAGAAGGAGTAATTTTAGGATTCTTCATATATTCTTGACTTCTGTTTTTTTAATTGATGGAGGCCTTGTAGAAGAATGGAGTGATATGGGTTTGGAGGAGCAGAGGGCTGGGAGGCAGTGGGGGAAGGAAATGAAAAGGGGGTGAGGCTGATGGAGTCAACTGAGCAAACAGGAGGGTGTGGGGATATGCGGGAAGAGAGGGATCTGAATGTGTGTCGGGGAGGGGAAGGCATTCATGTTTGATGCAGCAGGTAAGGAAAGGCCCGTGGAGTGGCTGGGAAGGTGGATGTGAGAGCAGAATCTGGCATGGCGCTTGTCCTAGTCTCTCTTGTCTCTCCCATTCGTGCTATCGCCTTGTTCTGTTCTATGGCTCCATCCTGTTGCAGAGCAGTGGTGACCAGAGGCCCCAGT